GGGAGAAGAAAAGCGTGGGCCCTTGGGGTGAGCGGAGCCTTGGTGTTCCAGTGGGCAAGCAGGCCGGCGGAGAGATCTGACATTTCATTGTCTTTAGTCTCAACTGATAGGATCTGGAGAGGGCCGTATTGCTTAAAGCTGTGAGCGGATGACATATGGGGAGCTGGTGTGAGGCACAGCTCCCCCGTGCCTCCTCCAGAGCCAAAGTCTTCCTGTGAGAGAGCAGCGAGCAACTTTTCTGCTTTTTCAAAACGGCAGCAGCCTCCCTCTCCCTCCCTCCCTCTCCCTCCCTCTCCCTCGCTCTCTCACTCTCTCTCTCTCTTTTTTTCCCTCTCCCTCAGACACTCACTAGTCACTGCCTGAAGCAGTAATCGGACAACTCTCTTTCTCACTAGGACCGGGTCTCCTGAGATACGGCGCGGGGCTCCATGGGTTCCAACACCTAAAATGAAAAAGAAAAAAGCAGTCTTGTAGTTTACATTTATTGTGCTACAGATTCTACCGACACTCTTTTTCAGAAAGTTTGCTGTCTGTTCTTCTGGACTGAACGATCTCTCTGTAGAAGATTCTTTTTTTTTTTTTTAAAGAAGCTATAAGAAGGGATAAACACACCGGGATTCAGCCATAATTGTAGTGAGTATGGCTTTAATTTGTATGTGATGTTTGGTATGTTTGTTTACTTACTGTCTTGTCTATTCTTTTTCAAATTTTGGGGGTATTTCAGTGTGTGTGTGTGTGTGTGTGTGTGTGTGTGTGTGTGTGTGTGTGTGTATGGAATTATCTCCTTTATTTTGCACATTTGCGTAAGCATTTAATTTAAGATATAAATGTCAATCAAAGTATTCACATCAACAGAGCAGCAGGAGTAACCATTTCATTTCTGCACTCATCTTGTCATTAATTGTTGTAGTTTGAAAAAGCACCTACTACACCTTTAATATTCTAAAAATTGTAATACTGTTGAGCCATTCAAAAATTATGGTAATGATGGTAATAATATCAAGCAGAGAGGAAGGCTTTAATCATCACAGGTCAGCTGTAATTTATTGACTGATAGATAAACAGCAAAAAGAATGTGCTCTTAATGGATTCTTAATTTTAATTTAAGTGAAAGTAAATGCAACTCTCATCCTAATGAAGAGGTCAATTTAAAAATGTAGTAAGATTTAATTCAAATAACAATTCGTGGTATATTACAGTGTATTATAATAATTGCTTTTAGTCCAATAGTTTTAGAAATGTTACAGTCCAATTTGTGTGCAATAATAAATATTTGTAAAAAACATTTCATACCTAAACATAATTACCTTTAAAAAAAATTCTCCATGAATTATAAAAATTACCTTTTTAAATAGCAAATAAAGTCTATTTTGCTAGCAGGAGAGAGTCATATACTAGTTCCAAATGTATCCAAACTCCCCTTTTGAAAATATCGTCTTCTGCTTGGCCCAGTTCACATTTTTGATCAGGCTAGGAAAACACGCTGGTCCCTGCAGGAGTCCCCTTTTTGACTGGCAGAACAAACAAAAAGCAACACAGTTAAAGCAGTTGACATCTAATGCCATCTGCTGAGGCCAGGAATGCTGCGAGGAGACCTGAGAGGCTCTCGGCCGTCTGACCGAGACAACAGGCCTCGACTCCCGGCCACGCTGCTCCTCCACTCGCCAGTATATTTCGCATGTAGTGAAGATGACTCACCCGCTCTAATCACTAGCCTCTCTAATTGAAGGATGTTCTGGTTTAATGTTCTGCGTATGATCACAGGCTTACATCACAAGTCAGGGAATTATTGTGTGTGTGTGTGCGTGTGTGTGTGTGAAGGGGCATTTCATCTCTCTCAAATTGTTTTTTCCCTCCTCTTTCCTTTTTCACCTTCTAATTCCTGTCATTTTCAAACGCCTGCATTTAAAAAAAAAAAAGGTGTGTGTCTGTAGATGAAAGAGAGGAAACAGAGAGGTTAGGCTATATGGGGCCAGAGACTGCTTGCAGAGCGGCCTCCGCTCCGTGCAGACAAACATGACAGTGTGTGTGATCGCCTGCTGCAACCATTCACTCGCACAATAACCTTATTTATCCAATTAACAGATAATGAGCAGGCTGATTTGGGGCTTGTTTGCACTGTGTATTTGCTCTATACGCAGGGAAGCGATCAGGGTCTCTCCGCCTGGCATGTGGAGCTTCCGTGCATGTGTATAGCAGCAGTGTGTACAAGCAGGAGTGGTCGGCGGTTTGACGGTGACATTGTTTGCCCAAGGCCTGATGCCTGCCGTATAGATGTGTCTAGCCAGCCGAGCCCTCTTCCTCTTCTCTCAGAGAGGAGATTGACAACGGTGAAAGACACAGAGGGCTAATTGATCGAGCCTCACTGATAGAGCTATAAAGGAAGAGGGAGAAGGGGCAGAGAGAGAGAGAAGAAGGAAATAGGGGACCTCCTATTAAGTAACCCATTGTGGGTGATTAGTGGGCAGGAGTTGTTTACTAAATACTGTGGGGGTGTTATTTTGTTAACACGCCACTGTTTGGATCTGGAATATGTGGCTGAAAGAACAGGAAATGAGCTTGAGATTTCTGTTGATTGCAGGTTCTCATTCACTGATAACCCATTCGTGTGTTGTGTTTGTAACAACAAGGAAGCCTGAAACATAAATTGTATTGAAAGGGATCGTGCTGAAAATGTGGCTATAGAAGAACGTCCCTCTAATCACATATCATTTAATTGCTCTTTAAAATGTAAAAAAAAACCTGCAAATTTATTTCCCTCTGCAATGTTGATGTGAAAGCAATTTTAAAACCTGCAGAGATGATAATCAACAACACTGCTTCGGGTTTAAGACAGTAAGAATAACCAGCCAACAAGCTTTAAAGTGACATAATCGTTGAGATTTTGTCACTGGACTTTCTTTCATCTTCGTGTTGTAAAGCCTCTCGCGCTCTGCGGTGGTCACGGTGGTATATAGGCAGGTTGTGATAAAATGTGCACCTTAACTCTTATTTGATGGCCCCTCAAAGGGTCGAACTGGCCTTCTGGAAATCATTTTGAGGGTTGAAGAGCACAGTATTAACAGATTTAACGTAGGTATTGAGTGAATTGCCGGAGCCCCATGTCAGATTGAGCCAAATGAGAGAGACAAATTGCATATCAACACACAGCACATCTGTTAATAATTATGATTTTAATTACAGAAAATATTATAAATGATGTGTCATAATAACACCATGTGCTTTTATCATTTGTTTGCCGCAAGTCTAATCCTTGTAGCAAGTACAGACCAGTACAGTTGATCAGTATAAAGAAATGCTTATGGAATATAAAAAAAACCAAAATTTTGATTTTTATATTGCTGCAACAATGCATTAAAACAAACTAGTGTTATTTTGCCTCTCAGAAAACATGTTTAGAAAATTGCCCTGTTTAAAATCAGACCACCATGTTATTTTAAAATGTTCTATCCATTTTATTTAAATGTGAAAAGGCTGTCTTATCTTAAATACTTTACTTTTTAGGATGAAAAAAACAACAACCGCCGAGCTATTTAATGTTGCATTTGCTGGCAGCCGTCTTTTTTTCGGCCACGTATAGAGACACAAGTGAAGTGTAGCATTTTGTAAACTGTGCCTAATTCCACTCACATCTGTGTTCAATTGTTGTCTGCATCTACATTCTTTGAGAGTGGATTTATTTTTCCTGGGCCACCATGTGGATTCAGCTGACCAGCTTAAGTGGGGATTAGCTGTTTTAAAGTTAGATTTTGATTAAAGCATTGTTTTTCAAAAGTTGTAACTCACAACACATGGCTTACGTAGACTGTACAATTCAAAGGACTATAGGCTGTGCCCTATACAATTAATATCAAGTAAGGATGACACAGGGAGGGGAGAAGGGGAACAAACTAAGCATATTTCTTTTTTAACATCATGTTTGCTTTGATTATTTTTATTTGCAACAGTAAGCTTCAGTGTGTGAAAACACTTAAAGCAAGCGGTATAACTCTTATATGAAATATCTAGCAAAGGTGAATATATATATATATACGATTGGTGGCGGGTCAGACAGCCTGCATGCTGACATGATCTATGCTAAAAGCTTGGCTGTGGCTGTGTTTACCTTTGGAGACGCAGGTCTTGAAATAAGTAAAGCGAAACAAAAAGGGGCCAGCAAACAAACGTGAGTGAAGCGTGTTGTGGCACTTCTTCTTCTTCTTCTTTCTTTTTTTCCTCCTCTTGATGACACTTCCAGCTCTTCATCTACTCTGGCTTTGTTCTTGTCTGCTTCAAAGACCTGGCAGTTCAGGTTGAACTAAGAAGCACATCAAAGATGCTGAATTCAGACCTTTTTTTTTTTTAAACAATAAATATTTAGCGGCGCAGAAGAAAGGCTAGTGCTTTTAAATCCCTCCCCCCCCCCCCCCCCCTCCCTCCCTCCCTTCTCCTCTCCCATCTTCCCCCTCTGTCTCTTCACCTGGCCGGTTTCACCTGTTGGCAATGGCTCAGACACCAGCATGGTAATGGCTTCATTGGCCTGAACTGCTGAACAGAGAAACCAGCCACCGAACACACACACACACACACACACACACACACACACACCATACCACATCTCTCCACCACAACGCGCTCTCTCTGTGATCGCTGTTAATGTGCTGTGGCAAAATGTGTTTCTCTTTCGTCTTTATGGCTCGTACCTCCGTGGACTTTCTTTTCCATGAACACTCTTGCGTTCATATTTTAGCATTGGGGAAATGTCAGGAGGGGAGGCACTGCCGTTGTCCGTAGCTTCTAAAGTGGGAATGAAATGTAATGGTTATTTTCCACAAAGAAGGCTAGTGCCATTAGCAGTGGGAGAGAAGGCATATTGTAAAGCTGGAATGGTATTCATGAAGGCTTTGCTTTGGTGTGAAGAGCAAAGCCTGTTGAAAAAAAGAAGAAGAAAAAAAAACCTCATGCAGCTCAGGTTACCCTGGCTCATGTAAACAGGCAACCATTAAAAAAATCATGCTAGGATTTTTTTAATTTTTTTTTAAAAGAATTCTTTTTCCTGACCAGTTGAATACCTTTGACCTTTTTTTGGACCTTGTATTCCCATGGTGGGCTGGAGTCAAGTCTAATATAGTGCTATAGTCGTGCGAGTATACGGCTCTGCTTGATGTTTGGAGAGAGACGAGCAGAGCGGGAGTGGACAGAGCAAAATGTAACTGTCAGCTAAAGGAGAGTAATAGAGGCATTCGTAGCGTCATAGGAAACATATGTGGCTCCATATGCTCTCCGTGTTCTTGTTTCCAGTCGCCTTCATTGTCTGAGATGCACCACTGATCTGGGGGCCTCTAAAGTGCCCTGTGTGTGTGTGTGTGTGTGTGTGTGGGTGTGTGTGTGTGTGTGTGCGCGCATTTGCACCACTGATCTGGGGGCCTCTGAAGTGGCCTGTGCATAAGTGTGTGTGTGTGTATGCAGACATACAGACATGAGTTATGTGTCTCTGTGTTCTAAAGAAAAATACATTTAAAAAAAAGACTGAAGAATGAGTTTTTGTGTTGCCACAGAGAAAGAAACAATGAGGGTTTATATATATATATATATATATATACATATATACATATATATATTTATATGTATATATCTGCCTTTCTGTCTATTGTGAACCGGCCGTGAAGTGAGGAAGTTGTGTATGTCTGTGCTGTTCCACGGCCCCAGGCTGGGGCAAGCCCGCGGGAAGCAGCCCTGACGGTCATTAGGACCTGTCAGTATGCCGGGAGGGGGGAGTGCTGATAAATTTCAGATAGTGTCAATTGCAGATGAAAGATCTGCTGGAGATGCTAGGGGCGTCACGCTTGACTTGTCTCCGCTCAACAAGTCCCGTCTTCCCTTCCAGCAGCAGGCTATACCTCGAGCAGGAAAGCGGGCGGCCAGGCTCTCCCACCCTCTGCTCTCCCTCACCCCCCTCACCCTTCTGCCTACCTTCGCCCCCACAACCCCCCCCCCCCCCCTCCCCCCCCCTACGCGCCCACCCCCCCCCCCACACACTCCTCCACCCCTTCCTGCTTACCTTGGCTAAGCCGCTTTGCATGTTGATTGGGGGGGAGGGCTAATCCAGTTTGCAGCTGTCGTAGACCAATGATGAATCACCTTTCCGTCATTTGGCCGTGCTCCCCTTGCTCGGGGAGGAGGGAGGACCCGGAGTAGGAAACAACAGTGGAGTATAGGGCCGTGGCTCGGAGAGAGAGAGAGACAATGCACGCCTCTGTCCCGTCCCCCCCCCCTCTTCCCCGCCAGCCCTCTCTTCCCATTCTGCTCCACAATAACAATAATGTTTTCTCAGACAAGCCTTTTTTGTGTCATGGATGGCTCTGGACTGTGACATTGAGCCGCAATAACAAGGAGTGACATTGTTGCTGCTGCGGCAGGTGGAGGCAGAATAAAGACAGGGAGTGTGGTGTGTGAGGACTCAAAGCCATCTAAGGTCCAGGTAAGAGCCCAGCTGAGCCAGTGCCAGCAGCATCAGAGACGTGTAGCTCTCTGCGTGGCGGCAGAGATTGACTTAGACAACTCTGCTAAATAACTGTCAGCCTCTCTCAGCCGGCTGTGTTGTCTGATTGGAGATAGTAAAGACTCTGTAGCCATCAGCTAATGAGAAATAAAAAGTTTGGGCAAAGGAGGAGAAAACAGGAGTGAGTAGTGAGATGTAGAAATATTGTTGATCCTTAATGTGATTGAACTGTAATGTACCTCTATGGTGTTGTGTGCTTGGAGGGTGTGATATTTTTAGGGTAGATGTAAATGAATATACTTCTGGGAAAAGGACAATGCAGCTTCCGTTATGGTAGTATGTGTGAAAAAGACAGATTTAACCTTATGTGTCGTTGTTTATTTTTATTATTACTGGGTTTTTTTGTCGCTTGAATCTTGGTCTATTTGATTTGTTATAGAATACTTAAATATATATATATATATATTTTTGCCATGAATTAAATTGGACTTAAACCACAAGATAAGACTACATTTGCCAAGCTGTACCGCAATGTATCATAACATTATAATATCATCTTAAATGGAGTAGATGCACATAATCAAATATCCGAATTGAATCTTTTTGTGAGATAAATCTGGTTTCTTCGTGCCATCTGATAGCACTCAGAATACTCCGAGTTTCTTGAGCATTTATCTTTGCGGCCTCGTGTAAAAGGCCAATGTTTATCGATAGCAGAGATACCCGGAGCTCCGGAATATAATTGGAAATGTACAAAACATTGTGTCCTAATTTCATTAACTTACTGTTGCAATGGAAAACAGTGGCAGAGACAAATGGGGTCTACAGCTTGTGGCCGTCGTTTTCAAATCACTCGTGCCTTCTTTTCTTCTCCACTGTCTACACTTGATCAAATCCTTTGAGTGCACAAATGAGAAGATAGAATAATGTTTTCAGTGGCGTGGTCTTTTGTATAAACACAGAAACAATTAAGGAGCTTGCCAGAGCAAACGCATGCTTCATGAGCTTCTCATCTGCCTATCACTGAGGCATGGGCTCTTACAATCAAGCAGAGTGCTGCACTTTTAACAGGCACATTAACCATAGCCTCAAACCAGCAAACATCTGTTAACAGTCTTCGATATACCGCACAAAACGATAAACACTTAAGGCCATTTTTTGCTTAAAGATACAGCAGAGTAAATTGACAGTAAACACTTTTGTGTTCACTTCATGTAAAACGGTGACTTGCAGTGAGATTGTTGTAATGAGAGAAATCAGGAACTGCCATGTCAAGATGTTTACTATCCGTTTCATAGCTCGCAATTCCAATCTGTTGTTGCTTGTGCAAATGTGTGTGTGTGTGTGTGTGTGTGTGTGTGTGTGTGTGTCACATTTTGGCTTGTATCTTTAATTTTCATATGTTTAATTTATCGCTGTCATTTGGCATCGCACAAAAACACCAGTATTTGAAATTCAATTGAATATATCACGTGCAAGGTAGTTGTTAGTCAAATCGCGGTGAATAATGATTTTCAAACGTAGCTTGAATGGAATATTATTTTTACTCACCAACTCATTCCTATTACTTTTTATTTTTTTTTTTTACTTTGTATTATCACCACCATATTTTATTCATCTAAATCTGGCCTGCTGAATTCCGCATATCGTGCACATTGCATTGTGTACCATAGCTGCGTGTCTTCCCTGAAACCAGAGTGATATGTGTAATTTGATTTGGTGTGTGCACGTGTGTGTGTGCGCGTGTGTGTGTGTCTCGTCAGGTCTATGGAAATGCAGGATCTAGCCAGTCCTCACAGCCGAGTAAGTGGAAGCAGTGAGTCTCCTAATGGTCCCAACCTCGACAACTCCCACATCAATAACAATTCCATGACACCCAATGGCACTGAAGGTATGTTTGCGGTGCCGTTGCTCTTTAGTTGCTCTCTCTAGCCTTGTGTGCTGTTGTACATTTGAAAAAAGGGCTGAGAATGGTGGCAGAAGCTATATTGTAACAATCCATGTGAAGCTGACTTTTTGATATGAAAGTAGTGCAGTGTAGCGTTAATGCATTTGTAGTGAATTACCAATACTTTTTTGCAGTAGTATAGCATTAAACATGCACTTCATATTTGCTGATTTGCAATGTCGACTCTAGCTTCGACAATTCAATGCTACCAGTAGTTGTCTTCCAGTAACTAGTAGCTGTTTATTTAAGTAACCATGTAATTATTCAAAGCCCATAGCATGGAAATGACGGAGTTTTGCATGAGGTCTCCACTGTACATAGTTATTTACTCAGGTGATTCAGCTGCGCTTAAATCTGAGCCTTTGTTTAGTAAAGCAGTCATGCCCATGTCACAAACCAACACAATCCTCCCTGTCACGTAAGCCTCAGGTTAGTCAGTGCGTTGAGCTCAGGGTTTTCTTCTTTGTGTGTTCGTGACACAGGACCCGTGGACATGGTGCAGACTGTCATGTGTCCCTTTGCCATTCTTTCTTTCCCATAGGTGATAACATCACAATGCTTACCACTGCAGACTGGTTGTTAGGTTCTAACTCACAGTCCGCTGCAGGTTCGTCTACTCTTGGTGACACAATGAAAGGACAATACTTGGTGTTTTCAACTGAGGGCGAGAATGAACGCGCTCCTTGTAGTTTACCTTTTCGAACCACTTACTTCATTTATGAAGACATTGCATTTGTGGTTTTTTTGAAAGTCCCAAAAATACTTTATCAGTTGACTCAACTATTGTGCCTTTCATTCAGAAAGTCTTTGGTATTTGCTGTAATTGTGGTGGTATTCTGTTCAAGCATGATTTTACACTGACTGGATTTGATTCCGTTGTTAATGAATGGCCAGATTGCATACTGTGCATTTTGTTTTCATTTGGTCGTTCCACGCCGTTTCCTGAACACAGTGGTTATTGTGTGCTCTGTGACCTGAGTGTGTCCTAGCTTATGCATGCACCTTACCACTATTTCTTTTCATCCGTGTATTTGTCAAATGCATTTTGCCCCTTGTCAACATATGTTTTCTGCACTGAGCGAGCATAGCGGAAACATGTAAAACATGACAGCAAATAGCTTCTTCAACCCATGAGGGATTCCACTGAGCATGACTCCCTTGCCCACATTGTCAATTTGTTTTGCCAAAAAGAGAAAAAAAAAAGAAAAAGTCCTCCAGCCCGCCTGAAGTGAAATGGATTAATTTCAAAGGTTCCTGAGCTGTCAGAAAGCTGTGAAATTGTCTTTGCCGAACTATCGCTGAGCTGTATAATGGAGTCAAGGTCAAACAGCGTTCGCTACACTCCTAAAAAGATTTTATACGCCGTACATTTCCTTGACATTTCAATTGTAGTCGTACATCCCTGCGGAGCTAATTTCTTTTATCTGTGACTCTATCACACATTTACAGTCGTTTACATTCAAGTACTGATAAGGCACTAATTTATTATTAAATGATAATGTCATCTTTTTTTTGCCAAGTAGAATGTTCTGTCAAATTAAAGTTTGATTTATATTGTGCTTGGAAAGTAGTTAAAATACATATCTAAAATAAATTCATGAGCTTTAAATTAGGAAATGGCTCAAGCACAATTCTAAATTTATAATACACCTCTTTACCAATAAAGATGAGTAAACCATTTGAACAGATACAAAAGTAAGTGTTAATTATTTATATAAATTTCCTGCCATTATTATAAATACTGTTGGAATGTTGTTCCACCCTCCTCCCTTTGCAGTTCTGTTTTTATTTTACTTTTAGTTACTTTTTCTTATATTTTTAAAACATAGTCTGAAATCCTGAGATCGTTAATCTTTTTGTTTTTGTTTTTATTTTTATTTTTCCAGACTTGATTTGGTGCATCTGGTGACAGTGTGGCTTCTTTGTTCGCAGTTAAAACCGAACCAATGAGCAGCAGCGAAATCGTCACCTCAATAGCAGACACCTCTCTAGACAGCTTCTCAGGATCAGGTGAGGCTGGAGGACTGTTGAGTTTGTGTGTGTGTGTCTGTGCGTGTGTGTGTGTGCGCCCTCATGTGTCTGGCTGCCTCTCTCTCTCACACACACACACACACACACACACACACACACACACACACACACAGCTGCAGAACTGATTAGTGAGGGATGATTAGTGAGGGCCCCAGGAAGAGTCCCTACAGCTAAAACACCAATACGTGTGTCAGTGTGTGTGAGTGTTGAAGCACAAGCGACTCTGCCTTACTCTTGTCAGCATATTTATATGCCGTGCTTTCTTGCGCATGTGTTTGTTTTGTATGTGTGTGTGTTCCCATGCCAATGAGGACAGAATTATGACCTGTAATGCACTGAACCTGTCTGTCCAGTGGGGTGACACGGCGTCCCAGTAGTCCTTCACTCTCCATGGGCTGTTACTCTATCGGCCTGTCAGAGACAGGGTTTTCACACCCTCCTCTCAGCACGGGAACATCACACACACACACACACACACACACACACACACATACAGACACATAAACACATGCGCAGGGACATCTCTTCCTAAATACCTCCGAGTATAATGAGTATTTTAGGAATTGAAAGAAATATTCACAAATGTGATAACTTTACAGCTTATTTCTTTTCCCACCCTCACCAGTATATATGTCAACCTGCGGCACTATTTTCTATAAACATTTATTAATAGTATCCAACTGCATGGTGTTATCTTGCTGCTAATTTTCCTGTATTTCCTTAACTGTTTAACTAAGCACTTGATACTTAACTCTAGAAGCGCATAAATCACTGCCATGACTTTTGTCTCTGACAATATTAATGAAATTTAGTAATCGTACACCCTGATATCCTCCACGGGGAAATCCAAAGCTCCGTTGAGAAGAGTATGTTTTGTCCAGTGGCAGGTGCTGCTGATGTGGGAAAAGTGTTCAATATTAATAACGTGTGTGAGGGGTTACAGCATTCAGTTACATACAGTTAGCGCTCCCCCGCAACCAAATCCCTTATTTTACATGTCACGACCAATTAGACAGATGTTTCTTTAAGAAATGCATCGCTCCGCTGCAGTTAAATGCGAGTAATGCGGCAGAACTGTGATTGTTGCATGAATATGATTAAATGTAGATGTGTGATAAAACTTTAATTTATTAATGTATTGTAATATAATTTGAAATTCACCTGTTGTGTTCTATTACAAATGTAGATGTAAATACTATATTCAGTAAAACCAATAAAACCTTTTTACTGTCAATTTTGTAACTGAAGTCTTGCAGGCTGGATCTTTTGTGCGTCAGGAATTTAATATTTTGTTTAGATTTATTTTACTTCTAATTTTCTAAAAATTGATATTTCAAATTTTCGAACTGAAGCCTGCATGCACAAATTAAGAACACTAATATAAAGTTTCCTATTTAGAAGAGTTTATTTGAGTTGTTACTTTGCAAAAAAAATACAATCTACCGGTGACGACCACTGTGTGTCTTTATATAATCCTTAATCCAGATTCAAAACAAGTGTACGTCTGTGAGTTACTTGTGGCTGAACTTTCCCAAGTTAACAGCACCGTGGAATCACATAGTCGTACGCTTTAATGCAGGAATGATTATGCAGTAGCACTCATTACCTGCAATCAGTGTAGTCACTTCCAATGTGGTTGTGGCTCGAAAAAAGGCCCAAGGCAACCGAAGCCACAGGCCGAGACTGATTCAGTCCATCCTGTGTGTGTTTACACCAGCGGTCGTCATAGCAGCCCAGAAGTATCTCAGAGATACGCGGGTCAGCAGAAAAACCTGATGTTCTTACCTGATTATTTTTGCTTCATTATTGGTCTCCGGTTGTCAACCTTAAATGAGGTTACCGAAATAAATACAGCAATGCAATGTAATTACTGTTTCCTTGGAATCCAGAAGTTCTGTTGGCAAAAGACAATATTTACCTTATTTCTTAATGTTTAAATATGTGCTTGCCTCTTTTCTTTTTAACTTTCCTCAGCTATTGGAACCAGTGGCTTCAGCCCAAGACAAACTCACCAGTTCTCTCCACAGATATACCCTTCCAAGTAAGGCTTCTTTTATTTTTCTTTAAGAAAATAAGCAGCAACCAACTTCATTTGGCTCTTTAATTAGATCCTTGTGCTAGATCGGGGGGTTTTTCGACCGGCTTTGTTTGCCTGGATGTCTGCAGCTTGCGTACTCTGAAATCTGTTGTAATTATTATCTTGCAAAAAATTTCCTTTGCCATTTATTGTTCTTCCACCATGTCTATGAGCTGCGCCATGCTATCGGGCCTACGGCTTGGCTCGCTGTTTAAAATGAAGTAGCACAATCAGAAGGAATTTGTCAGTTAGCAAAGTGTGTGTTATGGTTTTAGTAGTAAAACATGGTCCCTTTTCTTCCTGCCTCCCTTTCTCACTTTTGTCTTTTGTTTCTTTTCTCAAATAGCAGAACATATCCGCATATTCTTCCTACCCCTTCATCCCAAAATATGGCTGCGTATGGGCAGACGCAGTACACCACAGGAATGCAGCAGGCCGCAGCTTATGCTAGCTACCCCCAGCCTGGCCAGCCCTATGGCATCCCAGCCTATGGTAAGATTTCTCAACACACATCAAAACCTCCTCTTGTCTTGCTAAAAGATGCATGTTGACTACAACTAAACATTTTTTTTCCTTCCTAAAGGCCAGGTCCAAGACCTTGCTCATAACAATCCTTGTTCCCACAATTCCTCCAGTAAAGCAGGAGTGGCACAGATGCTGAGTTGTTGTTTAGTGCCTGCATACTCTCCTTCATTGCAATAAAATGTGCTCGTCAAGCTGTTCCGATAGATCTGAAAGATTAATGATACAAATCTGAAAACAAAAACTGGTTTTCTCTGGCATTGCACACAGTACATGGCTCGCTGTGGGCTTTATTTGTCCAAAGTCTTTCGAGTGTTTTGACCCCAAAAGACTCTCCAATATGTGGAGGAATTTACACTGTTTATTTGAATGGAGTCCTGCAACCTACCGCTGCATAGAAACTGCATTGTGACTGATTGAACGTAAGCAGTGGCCAGTTTAACTCACAAACACAAGCAGAATGTTTTATTACTTGTGCATCTTTTCACAGGTGACCTATATTAGATGATAATAATAATAACACTACATAAAATCAAACAATCCTAGTCCTAACACGCTTTTTGGTTTTACAGCCAAGTAGACAACTCTTCAGTGTGAGATAATATTTCTAAACAATTCGTGATAGTAAAATTCCTCGTCCTTTGTGAATAAGTGTGTTGTGTCCCTCTGCTTTGTCCAGTGTTATTGAAACCTATGCGTTGACTGTTGTTTGTGCAGCAAACCGATCTGGTGTCACTAACTGATTTAGGTCCATTGTGGGCAGGCATAAAGACGGAAGGGGGTCTGACCCAGTCCCAGTCCCCGAGCCAGACCGGCTTCCTGAGCTACAGCTCTGGCTTCACAACGCCGCAGACAGGACAGGCCCCCTACAGTTACCAGATGCAGGGTGAGGACGTCTTTGTGAATGCTTCATCTCATTCTCTGTGCACCTTCACATGCCTATTAGGGTGTTTGTATGGGGGTCAAAATGCATGAGATGCCATCACACACTCTTAAAGTTGTCAGCATGTCCAATTTTACACTTGTAACATGTTTGCAGCGAAATAGCTGAAATGGCTAACATTATGGGTGGTTTACAAAACGACAGAGCATTGACTTTGATTCACCGACTATCTGGTTGCTGGTACGAGTCTTTCCTGCTTTGTTCTATCTGTGTATCATTTTCTGTCTTTTTAAAGTATTCATCTTCGTCTTCTCTTTTACATTATTTTTCCAACATCCCTTTTTTCCTACGTGTTCCTGGCATGTGTTCCCTCTGCTTAGCCTTAGACCATCCAAATAAGGTTTAGTATTCTTTTTTTGTTTTTGTATTAAAGATTAGAGAAAAAGGTTTCTGTCCCTGATTTATTAGCACACAGAGCCAGACGGATTCACAACATGGCCCTTACACTCCCCAAAAGACGGTTGCATCCCGACGGTTGTTATTTGCAGCCACGGCGGCTGCCTCCCTCTCCTCTCTTCTCCTCTTAGAAGAATCAACACAGATGGAAAATGGCAGGCACTTAGGAGGCACCAGCCATGTCCTCCCCACTCCCCAGCATTTGTTTTTTCTCTCCCTGTGATCATATTTGTATTTGTTTTAGAGCTGAGACCAGAGAGATTTATGGCCTTGAAACCTTAGAAAGAGGAGTCGTTGCGCCCTGCACTCCTCCTCTTTTGCTCTCCCCGTCCAATCATACATTCTGTTTAAATGTCGATCAAGCCTTCTGCCATATAGTGTTTCTATTATCCTCTGTTTGTATTGGTTCACAAAGCCTCTGTTCCACCTGCACTGGGCGAGGACACTTAGCCAACAGCTAGCACAGCCTTTGTCTCCCCACTTGTAATATCTAAAGTGTGACAGTGAAAACATCTCCACATGTTGTTGGGAAGCAACAATCTCACAATAAATAACGCCAGCTCAGCAGCAGATGTGGCACGGGGAAGGCTCTTTTCCACGCCTCTTAAGCAAATACAGTCGGCCACTGCCAGAGTTTTGCAGCGTGCAGCCGACCGCCTGAAAAAGAAGAGAGAGAGAGAGAGAGAGAGAGAGAGAGAGAGAGAACAAGAGACAGACCATGTACAGCAGAATGTTCAAGCTGCTGTCCTGCCCTTAGTGGTTTAACTCACGATGACAGTATTATGTGCCCATTCATCTTCCAAGTATTATGCTCTTACTGCTGTCTTTCTCTTTCCCTCCGTCTGACTCTGTCTCTCCCTCCTGCTATCTCCTGCTATCTCTGGCTATCGGATGCCCCACGTAGCGTTAAGTGCGTTAGTATTTGACAGCCATGTTAGATGACAGATTGACCACTATTCTGGCCTTGAGTTCTCTAACTGTGGCTCTGGCCCTTTGCCACACCATCATCATTACTCTTTCTGGCCTATTGATCTGCCCGGGCGAGGTGCCTCGGGCCTGGGTGTCCCAACCAAAGACTCTTTTTCCACATCTGATACCCCCCCCCCCCCCTTCTCTGTCAGTGTCCCCGCCACCAGCCTGTGGCCAGCTGTCAAGGCGGAGGACGATTAGATTATTGGTTTTACTCCTTACTTTCCTGTCCGATGCCATGGAGCTTTGTGTGGGTGCTAAAGTCATGGCACCAAATTGTAAAAAAGAGACCAGCGCTTTCGTGCGCCTCAGTTTTGCAACAACTAGTGGCAGTTTGTGTAAGGCAGCGCATGGTTTGTCAGCAAAAAGGTGCGTGATGAGACAGGGAGATTGTGCTGATGGGGGGGGGGGGGGGACTGAGCAGATGCTAATTAGGTGAATAATTGGATTCCAGCATTCTGTCCCAGTGGCGGTGCGAGCTAAAGAAGCTGAAGCTACGTCTGCCTTTTTTAAAAGGAGAGCCCCATCTGGACTTGATAGCCTATTCCCAAGTGGGGCATACAAACTTCTGCTACAAATATTGTGCACTGATGATAGACATAGCCCATGGCTAAGGGGACTGATCAAGCAAAGCAAATGGACTTCCAATTGTGGAGCCAGAAGGCAGGAGGGAAGGAGGAGAGGAGGGAGGGATGATGTCTGGTCTTGAGTGAGTGAACTAACTGGAGCAGGACAGGGGGAGGGAGAGAAAACATGCCCCCCCAGGGAACCACAAGACCCCCTCTTTCTCCCCCCCTACTATAACCAGCACCACCACCAACAGCATGGGCTCATTCTCACTGCTAGCGGGGGTCCCCCTCAGCTTTTATGTGGCTCCTTGTTCTCCACAGAGCAACCCTCAAACCCCGCCGCCAGTGAGGGCTTTTATGGCCGCTTGAACTGTGCATTAGGCTAAGTTGTTGTCCTTCGCAGCCGTGCGCCTCCTTGTCTCTGTCATATCGTTCTGTTCGACTTTCACTTGATGTTGAACTTTCTTGCGGCAATTCCGCCTGCAGGCATTGAAATATCAAACCAAACAACAAAGAGAAAGATCAGTTTAGATGAAAATAAGGCCAGCAGGAAGAACAAGGTATGAAAAAAATCTGCTGTGTGTGTAATTGCTGGAAGCAGAGAGTGAGAAACTGCACAAATAACTAGTGGATCCAAGTAATCTTGGGAGCTCTGGGAGGTATTTGTTTCTCTTTTTGGGCCACAGTGCTGGGTACTTAGCCAACTGACGAGGCCAAACACTGCCCTACGTCTTTTCTTTTTCGTGGTTTCCATACGGTACCCTTCATGCCCCCCCCCCCCGAACTAAAAGCTGCTTCACGTTTGTCACGGTGTGGGAGGGCCCTCCTGATGGGGCCAATGACCAGAGGATGAAAGGAACTCCTTCTGTTTGTCTCTGGGAACAAAGGTGTAATTACGCCCCCATTTAGGAACAGTAAATTTATCTCCCCTTTCATTTTCACTCAAACTGCGGGATATTTTTTGGCTGCGGGGGATCACTGTGGTGATAAGTGAAGGCGCTTTTTTAAAATAATGCAATGGTAGTGCTAATTCATGTCCCCTGTAGATATATGTATTTGTATTTTTATGAACAGAAGCGTGTAATATTACCCAGGGGTTGTATTTGTAAAGGTTTGAATAACTGCGATGACACTTTGGTGCAATTTCTAAACTTTTTTTGATAGATTATTTGTTTTAAAGTCTTTCAAACTGAACCCTCTGTTACTAAACCAACCTGCTTGATTTTCTTTTAATGGATAAATCAGCTTCATTTGGTTCTTTGTTGTGGTGGCATTATAAACATTTTGAGATTTGATAGTTTTCTCTTTTAAATTTGCCAATAAGAAGCAACACTTATACATTTATAAAGCACTATATAGAAATGAAATGAAATATTTTAGTGCTATAAAACTATTTTGCTCACACAGATCATTGAAAACAGTTGGGATCATGTTAGCTTTAATGCACACGGCTCTCTCCGTGTCTCCCTACCAGTCTGTGATCCCCTTTAATCTGCTCCTCCTGACATGCCGGTGCAGGTGGAGGGCCGCTGAAGAAAGAAGCCGTGCCCCCAGGGGGCCGCCGCTGCTGCTCCTCTCCTCTATAACTCATGTCATGTATATTATTAAGCCATTAGATGCTATCAACCCTTTTGAATGATTTAATTACCCAGGAGGACCGTCCTTTGAACAAGTGGCAAGAGGAACATACATATTCATTGGGGCTGGATGTCGGCAAGAAAACCCCCTCTGTGCTACTCACTGCGACCTCAACCCTTCTTCCCTATACATCCCTGTCTCACTACACTGCCCATGCACACCCCCCTGGCACCCTCATGCTCCATCCATCGTTTCCAAACCCCCCCCACCCCTTCCTTCACCCCACGCCACCCTTCGGTAGCTCACACACAAAAGTCTCTTGTCTTCCTCACATTGTGCGGGCTTGGACGGCTGTGGGAGCAGGTTCTGTCCACCCTTCACCCCTCTCTCCCCCCCCCCTCTGTCATTCATCAGGCCTGATCCAATCACTGATAAGGAAGGAAGAGGAGAAAGATAAGGCCACTGTTGGGAGCGCTCCCTCAGGCCTCCCTCTGTTCACCACCTCGAATAGTTGTTTCACAAAAGAATATCTTTTTTCACCCCCCACGAACAATGTGCCATTTCATTTCTTGACTCCACTGCTTGAAGTACTGCAGATTTGACAGTGTTGTTTGATAAAATATGTTTTATACATCACTCAAAAGTGTTATTTTTTCCCCTAAAGGTGGTACTTTCACGACAACGTCAGGATTGTATCCAGGAAACAACTCCCTGACAAACTCCACCGGCTTCAACAGCACACAGCAGGTAGCCGTGCACTTCCGTCTGCTCGTTCCATTTCTGCGATCTGATATCAGTAGGCAGCTATGAGTTTATATGAGTGGGAATTGCAGACGTCTTCCCAACCTGGAAATCTTTATGAAACATGCATACTCAATATGTTACATTTCATCCATGACACATTCCAACATAAATCACTCGGGACGTCAAAAGATTTGTACGCGGGATTATCTACTGCACTTCCTCCAACACAAATGTATTATGCCACAGAAGAGAGGGAGAGGTAGAAAACAAAAAAAAAAAAAAAAAAAGACCAGATGTCGGACAGAACAGACATGTGTTTGCGTTTATGTTTTGGAATCTGCACTGTAAAGTAGCAATGCTGGTGCAGGGCATATCTCACGTTACTCTGCCAAACCTGCTACTTCTCTTCCACAACTTGGCTACCTTTTGTCTCTCTTCACCTTTTTGATCTAAATCTTCCCTTTCACACCACGTTGAACATATCTTTCTGTTTATCTTTACTTGCCTTGTGCGTGCAACCTATCATTTCCCTACTCTGTCTTTCTCCACAGGACTACGCCAGTTATCCAGCCTTTGGCCAGGGGCAGTATGCTCAGTATTACAACGGCTCACCCTACACTTCACCCTACATGACGAGTAACAACACCAGCCCCAGCACGCCCTCCACCACCACCACCACCACCACCACCTACACCCTCCAGGAGCCACCCACTGGCATCACCAGCCACGCCCTCACAGAGAACCCTCCAGGTAAGAATCAAACATCAGGGTCACAAGGTTGCCTTGCGTAACCCGAATATCGGGAGTTTGAGAGCCATGTTTATTTTTCAAACAAGCAAGCCAGCGAACCCCTCCCTCTGACTGACTGGAAGTTGCTCCTGATAAGAGAACATGAGCTAAACGGCAAAGAACTGTATATGTCCCGACCCAAATGCACAAAGGGAGGCGTAGGATGTGGTCTCAACCATCACATAGTGTGGCAAGCAAGACAAAAAAAGTTCTAACTGAAATCTGATGTAGAGTTTTCCATAATTTCATGTGACATTAATGCATCATCTGGCAATCAAGCACTGATTGTATCTTTATAAGTCAGTTAAAACTTTATGGCTGCATTCGAAATTGTCATCAATCAACACCAAAGACATCAGGCTTTAACTAAACGTAATTTCATACACAGTCGTCCACTTTATATAAATGACATCTCTGATATATCTAGTTGACATGTACTCCATTACCTCTGGTTTATTAAATCAGTATGGAGCACTATAGCTTTTAGTAACTGTGTTCCGCAACTGATTTATGATATGTTTGTAAACCTGTAGGCCGGCACAAAACACAAAAAAAAATGTCCCAGGAAGCTGTCCGTCCCACATCAAGACAAATGGTCACTCACTCTTCTTTGCTAAAAGCAGATAATAGCTCATCTTCGATGCGCTCTTTTTATTCTTTCCTTCTTTCCTTCCTTTCAGCAGTAGAGTACAGTACCATCCACAGTCCATCAACCCCCATTAAAGATTCAGATTCGGATCGATTGCGCCGGGCATCGGATGGAAAGTCACGTGGCCGGGGAAGAAGGAACAACAACCCATCACCGCCGCCTGACTCCGACCTTGAGGTAGGGTGAGCCCGCTACCTTGGCGACAGACAGCCTCGCCCTGTCTGAGGCACATGGACACTAATCCACTTATATGGCCGCCACAGCAGCTTTAACACTTGATGGGCGTTCGTTCTTAAATATTTGATTCCTTAACTATGAATGCATTATTGATTGCAGTGTGGAATATATGACATCACTAAACACATATATAAAGTTCTGATGTATGCCTCGTAAATAAACAATCAGGCTTGTGATTAAGTGAGTCATCGTTGAAGTGAATAATGTATATATTCTAGTCATCAAAGACCGGACACAAACTGTGACTAACAATGGTTGAATTGAGCCATGAGCCATACAACACTTTGATAGTGACCATATGTCAAAATAAACTCAAGAGGCCTCTTCATTAATATGATGTGAATTCAAACGAAGTTAATAGCACCCATTATAGCGCTGACATCATGGCGTGTTAACATATCTAGTTAATTAGTTTGTCACTATTGATTACGCTAATGTAAAGGGCAGAGGATGGAGAGCGTGCGGTGGGGTGATGGGAGGAGTGTTGCGGTGACCAACCCGAGCAAATGGATCCTGGTCCCTGTGGCGCACAAATACACGCTCCTGGCCTATTGACCAGGAGGATCACCTTGCAGCCCGACAGAGTGCACCATTGATTTTGCCTCTTTTCTCTCTGTTTTTTTTCCTTGTTTCTTTCGTCCGTCCGTCCCCCCCCCCCCCCCTTCCCCATCTCTCCAGCGAGTTTTCATCTGGGACCTGGATGAAACAATCATCGTTTTCCATTCCTTGCTTACGGGTTCTTATGCCAACAGATATGGACGGGTGAGTGACATCAGACTGTGGCAGTAGCGGTGCACTTTATCAGCTAAACACATGAATATTAAAAAGAAGGGGGAGGAAAAAAAAAGAAGATTAGAGTGGTTGGAAACGGCCAATGAGCAGGGGATAGATTTCATTGAGTCCATAGTGAGAAGGTAGAGCAGAACTCAATGTACAGATAATTGTTTCTTTTTTTTTTAATAGGCCCAATGAGGCTTGACAAGTATTTGACTGCTCTTTGCAGCTGTTGCATGGCTGGTCGGGGCTCAGCTGTAGGGGCTCACAACAGTTGCACTCTGGATGTCTATTGACACATCTTAAGTGTTCCTTTCTCCTTCAGAAATGCCACATTGTTAGTTTAATTAAGTGCTTCTCAATCCATCCTTTTCAGAGAGGGATCTCCCCGGAGACCCTGGCAGGAAACTGAGTCCACCGAATGTAATTCAGTCAAAACTCAAACTAGAACACAGAGATTCTCTCAAACCTGCCTTAATTAGGATTCAGATAGAATTACAGATGTGTACATCAATTATTTATTGTTATTTTACTGGAAGGTTATTTTCCATCCCATGTCACTGTGAATGCTTATAAGATGAAGAGTTTACTTTTCCAGGCTTTGCTATTTGTTGTTCCATGTGAATTGCCTCTCTAAATTTAAACTTTCAAAACAAACAATTTGGGAAATAAAGCAAAATCCTATATTCTCATGGTTTTGTTGAGGTCATAGGTTCTATGTAGCCTTAATAGTGCTTCAAATCACCAGGTCTTATTTTGCCATTTGAATATAAATACGTGTATAACTATTGAATCAATTCATCACTCTCACATTTTTTTAAATAAGTAATAAATCTCTAATTCTATTTTGTTGGGGGAGCAACATTTGTAATCACCGGTTGTTTTGGCTATGGAGGTGTCTGGTTTTGAAGTCAAAAATGACATATTGCTCCTCATATGTCAGAGAGCTTAGCGTCTGCAGCCCGAGCTCTGCGCCTTTGTTCTGGTATGAGGGGTGTTTGATGGGGGCAGTGTTTTGTTTTTGGGGTGAAAGAGGGCTGCCCCACGACCCTCCACTGTTTATTTACTTTGTTCTCAGCCCTGCATGCTGGGTAAAGAGAGAGCTATAAGGCTTAGGGAGCTGTGGCTCAGTGATGAGGGACTCTCCAACCACACACACACACATGAACACACACACATGCATACACAGGGTCTCCAGTGTGCTCCTCTGAAACAGGAAACACTCCTGACTCCATAAGGGCCCGCTTCATCAGAACTCATATAGGATGTGACAGCCGCTAGAGTCCCTCTCACTCTCTGTTTTCTCTTTTGTTCCCTCTTTTTCTCCTCCTCTGCACATTTCAGTCCCTTTTTTTTCTTTTTTTACTAAATTTTCTCTCATGCTCCAACCTGCTGACACTATCACATTAAAGCCGCATTATAAGACGGAGACATGCTTATTCAGAGCAACCACAAAGCACGCTACCTCAAAGCCTATCGGACACGCAGATCTGTAAGCTTCCTCAGAAAAGAAAGTGAAGCAGACCGACATCCACCACAACAACCAGCCCTTCTCTTCCCTCCCGTCTGTCATTCATGTCATCCCCGTCTTAGTGGCATAAACAAAAAAGTTACTAAACAGTCCCCCCCCCCTTGCTGCTCTGAGCCTACTATAAATAGATGTGTGCACACATCCACACTTTCTCTCACTCTCTGTGACCTCCCACCCACTCTCTCCGACTTTTTTTTTCTCCTTCTCTTCTTCTCATACACACATAAACACACTGCTGCTCTTATCAGCTCTTTTAATTGGCATCAAGGCAGCTCACCCCCATAAAGCTGATGGCTGAGGCCAGCTGAGCCGCCATTGGGCTGGCCAGAGCTGGAGCTTAAAGTGGGTGGGGATGGATGGGGGGTTGTTATTGGTAAGGGGCTCAGAGAAAGGGGGGGGGGGGGGGAACTTGGCGCCCCCGTGGATGGCACTGACATCTCGGGACAGGTGGCGCTGGAGCAGTGACAGCAGCAGCACTTTGGCCTTCTGGCCTGCTTGTATTCTTAACTCCCTCACTGACTGATTGTTTAGATTTAATTGGAGAGCATTCACTCGCGAAGACTGCCTTTTCCCACCAAACCGGCCCTTTATGCTAAGTCAACCAACAGCGGCGGAGGTTGGGGAGAGGGAGCCGGTAGCCGGTTGATGTGGGAGGCTAATTATTTTTGATGAATTCCGACTGAAAGATTGATTCGAACTGGGAGGTTAAGAGGAAGGAGAAAGCCTCTAGAAGTGGGGATTGAGGTCTACTTGTGTGGTTTGTCCGCTGTCATTTTGGTGAAAACATAAGCATTGTGGGGTGTGACAGTTAATCAGCAGAAAGCTCAGGTGTGTCTTCAGGTGGTTTAACTCCCTAATCCCCGCTTCTGGTCCCGTCTTTAATGCCGTCTCACCCAGCTGCAGACAATCCTCCTCCACAGCCTGCTATTGTCTCCTTTGCTCGCTGAAGACAATCTGTTGATTAAAGATTTAAGATTTAAAAAAAAAAAGGTATTCAATTTGTGCAGCAACAAAAAAGAATGGTAGCGCTTCTCTCCAGTCAGTTAATTAATTATAACATGTTTTGTATGTTGTTTGTGATAATAATGGTATGTGGTAGTGGATTGTGATTTGGTTTATATCTTTATGTTTATGCTGAAAAATACTTTTTGTCAATTTATTATCTTTTTAAAAGGAAAATCGCACACATTGTCACAGGCTCATTAACTATTTACAACGTAGTTCACTCTTGTCTCGGTATTATCTTACAGACAGTGCAACCCTATCACCATTACAGCACGTGTCACATTACTGACAGAGATCATGATTTAAGGAAAAGTTGCAGTTGTGTCCGCACGCGTTATCTTTTTTAATTTATTTGAATTATTTTAAATATCAAAAAACACCTCCAAGTAGTTGATTCAGGGGGTATTGTTTTAATCACCTAGAGAGACAATCAGATGATGCATCAGCACAAGTATGTGGCGAATGGGCTATTTACGATGAGACTGTGACCCCCC